GACAGTAGTACATGAGACAGATCTGTGAAAAAATCAGGTTCTTCTGGCTCCTCCTAGTGCTCCTAATGGCATTTGCAAGAAGCCACCGGGCCTGAACGAAAACAACCAATCAGAAATAGTAAAGATAGTTGATTATTGAGTCTCATTCCCAGGTTCCCAAAGCATCTGTATTTGATGCCCATAGCAATCAGCTATCTTTAAGCCTGCAATCCAAACAGTCTTTATGTCTTTCTCGGCTCAGATTGGTTGTTTTCATCCAGACGCGGGGATTCTTGCAAATAGATGGAGATGGCATTTAAGAAAAGAAAATGTTCAGAAACAGTTTGTAACCATCATATCTTTGAAATCCAACAAGGGACCATTTTTATCTAGCAGTTAAAAGGAAAGTACTAAAGATTCCTTAAAATATCAAACATGAACAGTTTCCAGATGTGTGTGTGTTTGCGTATGTCTATTCTATCCTGTGTGACAACTTCCTAGGCTGCTGCAGCGAAAAAGAACTGTTCTCAGCCAGTATTCAAGGCTGGTTAAATACCGGTTAGAAAGATGTTTGAGTGAAAACTTTTCAAGCTCTCTTTTACTCATGAAATCATCATTTCCAAAAAGCTAAAGTAATTCCTGCTTTGAAGGATGGCACCTACACAATAAGCAAGGTTACCTGTAATTAAGTAGCACAACGGAGACAACTCGGATTCTCTTTTTAAAACCACAATGGTTGACATTTATGGGCGTAATTGCTCAGAAACATGTCACTTAACAAACAAGTGGCATAGAAAGTGTGGTTGTCATTCATCAGCAGGATCCAAACTGCAGGCTGGAGAAATAAGAAGTGGCTGGCAGGACGAGAGGAAACAGACAGAGAATGAGGTTTAGAGAAGAGAAAAGGCAAAAGCTGTCACCCTGACCGCACCCTGATCCCTCCGGAGGGAATTAGTAATGCCCTCGCTAATCCGACAGCCATGTTGAATTTTCAAACACTCTCTTATACATAGCTGTGAGTATAGGCCAGGGTTGCTCAAACTTTGTCCCTTGGAGGGCCAGTACTAAAATGTAATCCTGGGACAGGGGGCCAAAAGCAAACATCTATAGTGTTGTACTGTTAAAGCTGCAGTAGGGAACTTTAGAAAAAAGAACGTAAGTCATATTTGCTGAAACTTTAACAAAATCCTGACAGTAGTGCATGAGACAGATAATCTGTGAAAGAATCAGGTTCCTCTGGCTCCTCCTAGTTATCCTAATGGTATTTGCAAGAATCCACCGGGTCTGAACAAAAAGTTATTTTTCTAAAAGTTACCTACTGCAGCTTTAAGATGCAAATGGTACTAAGTTCACTTAGTTGACTAATTTCCTGTATAAAGTGTCACATTGCCCTCCGTGCTCTGATTATAAAATATAATAAATAAACAGGGATCCTAACTTAAAATAAATAAAACTGCATAAATAACTATTCATATGAAATTTTGTTTTGCACAAGAAACATCTGGGGAATAAAGGTGCAAACAGTCTATATCTGGGATCTCAAACTGCTGGCCTAGGGCCCATTTGTGGCCTCATGTCAAAACATCAAAAATCTATTATAATCAATTTTATTATTTAGTTTTTTTCTAGTCGTTTCATATCAGTTTGAACTACCCCTTAATATACAATTCAAATAACAACACAGTTCTATTTTATTTTTTTAAAATGTTTAATAATTTGGCGCAAAAAAAATGGCAAAGGTCAATGGTTGATAAGAACAAACCAGTTGTCGCGCCTTCATTTATATTTTGGCTGTGAACAACAAAGATGATATAAAATGATATAAAAATGTATCAAAGCTGCTTTTGCTGCATTTGTTGTTAAGTATGAAGGTAATAATTGAAATATGTTCAGAATATTGTGCTTTCTTGTAATACTGGAAGTGGCTCTACTATGAGATGACAATACCAGCGTTGGTAGCCAATTTGAGTTCAAGACCCCTAGTCTACATGGTTTTGGCAAGAGACGACTATGGGACAGACAATCATAGCACAGAGCATTCATGAAGAGCCACATGAACTGTACAGCAATGTGGGACACATACACAGAGTCTGTAGTGAATTTAGGCCACACCTCGTGTTCTGTTTGGTTTTATTTAAAAAAAATGTTCCAGCATTCGGGAAATTAAACTTACTCACTTTCTTGCAGAAAGATAGTTGAGAAGTTTGGTACCACCCTCTTGTCTTCACATTAACTATGGAGCTAGAGCCGGCAGGCGATTAGACGAGCTTAGCATAAAGACCAGAAACAGTTAGCCTGGCTCTGTTCTATAAAGCTCATGGTGGAAATATTTATAAAATCTTGTCATCACAGTGAGGTTGCCAGGTTTGAAACCATGGTGTGTGTACACCAACTGTGATCAACGACTGTATCTGGCAACCCACAGTAGAGCAGGAGAAGCTGCACCCAAGTACTGGCTGCACGGATACACTATTGTTCCATAAGAAACAGATACAGCACTTAACTAAACAAATTAAATACTCGGGCTGGGTGAAATGGCTGTAACTGTGTCACAATAAAATGTTTTATTTATTTTGTATTAAAATTTCTGTCGATAATGATACTTATTCATCATTTTTAATGACCTATTTTTAATAAAGACCAGGTGAAAATAACAACCACATTATGTATGAAGGCACACAGGTAGTAATTGAATGTTAATGTTTTGTCAGACTGTATTGTTGCTGGA